AATTAGGATAATGATTAATTAGAGAGTGCTCAGACCACCATAAAATTAAAATAAGATTAATGGCACTTGATGATGAAGATCAGCCACTCACACCCATTTGACTTTAGATTAAATTATGTTTAATTATATAATGGCCATCCATAGTGATAAATTTTAACAACATAATTTGAAGGTTATTTAGAAATTTTAGAAATTTATGAGGTTTAAAATTAATTTAAAAATAAAAATAAAAGTAAGAGTCACACACTTGGTTTTGGGGGCGAATATCCCACTAGAGATTTTCTACATACACAAAGACTCAAACTCAAGACTTTGTTTAAACAATATTAAGTTGCTTACCACTTGAACCAACTCCTAATGGTAATATAATATATATTTTTAAAAATTTATAAAATGATCAAATTAAAATTTTAAATTTTTAAAAAATTATATAAATAATAACATTCCGAAATTTAGAATAATGTGTCTCATCTTTTCAACTCATTCTCAATGGAATTATATTTCGTTTGTGAATTTTCAGGTCAAGTGTTTCATTTTTTATTATTTGGGTTTCCTTTTTCAGCCTAGTTAATGATTCCAGATATAGATAACATCGTTAGAGCAGCATTTTAGGTGGCATAACACGTTAAACACGTTTGATTGAATGGTTTCTTAAATTATAATTAAAACTAGCATTAATATATTAATAATTGAAATATATTAAAAATCATATTATAATAACCCTAAAAAATCAAAAATCAAAAATCATAAAATTTAAACCAAAATCAAATCCTAAAACAAACCATGTATAATTATTGCAAGCTTTACATAATTCTTTATATGAAAATGTTTATTATGGTTTAAGACATTTATCACTTGTTATATGAAAATATATATTGTTAAAGACATTTATCCTCGTAATTTGATGTAAAATACATTTAGTCGAATATATTTTAAAAAGTATATATTTATTCTTATATTTGAATAAACTAAAATTATATAAAGATGTTATACCTCCTTAGATGATCTCTAGAAATCATCAAGTCTATATAAGTCATAAACCTCCGAATAGACCTTTCGATTTACCAGAATTTCAAGGAACTTATAGTCTTCAAGCTAATTACAATGCACAAACAAAACAAAATACATGACATGCCCACATGATTTACCAGAATAAAACCTAAAATTTGACAGAAGATCTACTTAATCTATCGACCTACGAGTAGTCATGATGACCATATGTCTAACACCTTCGGCTAGGGTCACTAAATATCTCTCAGCCACCTCTTGACTTCTCCTTTTAGACCCTCAATTTCCATTATACTTTATCTTTCTCACAAAGAAACACTGTTAATAAAAGGAGTAAATTAAAATGTTATTCCTAAAGTACATTGAGTTTACAAAAAGGTCCATAATTAATATTTTATATACATTTTAGGGATTAAAAAAAATAAACTATTTTTATTAACTTGCCATGTCATTAACCTAACGTCATTTAAGGTCCCAGAGACCAAAACTTAATAAAACGATTATGTAAGTGACCACATATTATGAATTTTAAAATCAGTTAGGAAAGGTGGACAAATCATAAACAAATGTGATCAATCATATAGTTAATTCGAGTATATTTTTAATTGTAATCAATATATTAATAAATCATATATTAATATTATAATATATATATATATGATAACAATATAATCTTGAACTTACCAAAAATATTATTTCTGATTATGACAAAGTTATTTAATTTCAAGAACACATCAAGTAATCTTAACGATAAAAATATAAATATAAAAAAATTACATCGTTATTTAACTAGGGTTATAATTCAAACACTAAACAAAAATAAAATTATGTTTCTAGTTTAAAATACTTTTATAGAATGATCTTATTCATTCATAGCTTTATACAATTTAGGTTTAATAACTGTTTTGGTCCCTTCACTGCAGTTAAATTATCAGTTGGTCTATAATTTTTTTTATTCATGCAACATGTAATGAAAATAAAAGAAGTAAATTAAGTATAATTACAGTTTTAAAACAAAATAAATTTTAAACATGTCTTTTTACTTGTAGTTTTTCTTGTATTTTTATGATTTATTTAAATTTTTTATATTATTCAAAATCTTAGTACACGTAAAAACTTATGATAGGACCACGTAATATTTTTATAAAGAGATGACAAAATAATAATATAAGGACTAAATTAATTTTTTATATAAAACTAATAATTAACTATATTATAAGGGCCAAAACATATATTAAGCCTATACTTTATGTATGTACATTACATCTGTAATTTAGTACAAACCTTATTTAAATATATTCCTTATATGCTTGAACCAAACGACTTCAGATTTAGTGACATGAGCGTTCAATGTCAAATAGTTAGGAGTTAACTTTAAACAAATATTGTCTTGTAATTACTCAAGACTAGTAAAAAAAAAATCCTTATATATACACTTATCGCTCAAAAATAAGTGTCAAAAGTATACTTAAAGTTAATTTTAGTTGTATAAATATTTTCCCTCAAAGTAGGTATTTAACGTTTCTAACATTACTATTTTAGGTGTCTACGTTGCAACGACAAGGGATTGACCCACATTATAGGTGGGAGGGGCAAAGTCCCCCAAACTTTCATGGTCTAATTATCTCTTGAGCCATTGGTAGTTTTGGAATCATTGCAATTAAGTCCTTGCCCCTCCCAAAATTTTTTGGTGTAATTGTTTCTTAGGACACTGTCAATTTTAAAATTAAAGGAATTAAGCCTTAATCCTAAATTTGTCTTGTTTAATTACATTTTAAGACATTTGAATTTTAAAATCAATGAAATTAAACTTTTAATCTCATAATTTTTATAGTTTAATTACTTCTAAAGACTCTTTAGTTTTAATGTTAAACAATTTGTCTCCTCATAGTTCAATCATGACTTCGCCCTCGATAACAACTATTAAAAAGATCGTTATTTGACATGTTTCGTATTAATATTTTAAAAAAATTATTTAAGAATATTATTTTAAATAAAAAATCCTATCACCCGTAACCCCTTCCCCCTTTTGAAGGCCGCCTCCCCCGCGTTCAATCCCCCATGAAATCATAGAAACCCCTCCCCCTTGAATCCTCCATGAATTTCCACGTGAACTCAAGTCTGTAACCCCCTCCCCGTCGTTAGGAGTGCTGGGAAACTCTTCCGTCTATATGGTATTTTTAATTTAGAGTTAAAGATTTATTATATTCAGGAGTCTAGGATAATGATAAGGACGATGATCGATGTATAAGCTATGACATGTGAGCGGTTGTTGACGAAATTCGATGACGACTGGACATTAGATTTGAAATTGATAATTTTAAGGTATGGATTTTTTGTTATTTTTTTAAATTAGGTATTTTTTTAAAACACTATCATTTTTAAGTTTTTTTAAAAATAAAATTTTAAAAATTATGAACGTGACATGTGACATATAATAGTATTTTTTATTTTTGTGTGTTCATTGCCTTATGTCATCCTATTTTCATTAATTATAATTGTTTGTTGTTTGTTGAGCGAAAAAATCGATATTTCTTAATGAGTGTTACGACGTAGACACTTAAAAGAGTAACGTTAAAAACATTAGACACTTACTTTAAACGATAAATAATTTAAACATCTAAAATTAACTAAGTGTATAGTTTGAGTACTTATTTTTACATTAAACATTATTATTATTATTATTTTTAATGTGAGAATATTGAATATTATGGTAAAGAGAAAAGGGTATAATTAAACTATTAGCTCCACCACACAAAAAAGTTCTTTCTCATTTTAAACAAAAAAGAGAAAGAAAAGAATGTATTCCACTTCTATTCTAGCAAGGTATCTACTTTGAAGTGGCTAAAAAATAGTTGTCAAGAAAACACAAACTAGATAAATCATTGGCAATTTCACTAAACATGTTATCTTTTAAAAAAATAAAGATTATTTAATTATTTAAAAATATCTAGACAAAACATTTAACACAACATAATATAAAATATACAAAATATATCATGTAGCGTATAATATATAATATAAACATATATTTATTTGGATTGAGTTCCAGTTAAAATTTTCTCAATCTTTGAAAGCGTTTATCAATTTTTAAGTATGTTCGTCTTCTGTTCAGTCTTTAATAGTCATATCATGACGTATAGCTTGATCTTTTTACGCATCATATTGTGAAACAAGGAAAACCTAAATCACAAAAGAAAAAGAAAAACATAACATAAGAAAACCTAACACTTAAATCAAACCTTAATTCTTAAAAGAAAAAGAAAAAACAAAAGCATAAAACATAAAACATAAATCACAAAACCCTGAAGTCCTAAATTATACCTTACACTCAAAAGTATTAAAAACTAAAACCATAAATCACAAAATCCTAAATCACTACATCCAAGTGGATGTAAAAAAATCTTTGAAAGTTGTTTTTCCTTAGTCATGCCTAGGCATGAGCATGGGTCGGGTTTCGGTCAATTCGACTCGACCCAAAAATTTTACATCCTGCACTCGACCCGACTCGAGAAATATATACTATCTACCCGATTCGAGTCCGACCCGATTTTTTGAGATAAAATCTGAACCCGGATATCACCCGACCCGACCCGAAATAATAAAAAAATATTATTTTTATTCAATAATAATAGTTATTTAATTGAAAAAATTAATATATGGAGGGTATTATTGTAATTATTCATAAATATATAAGGTAAAATTATATTTTTGTGGTAATATATTTTTCACCATAAACTCGAATCCGACCCGAACATCACTTTTAAAAAACTAGACCCGAACCTAATTTTTTTTTAAAAACTGATCTAATCGGATCGGATCGAACTAGAACCGTTGAGTTCGGGTCTCATCAGAAGAAAAATGTTTTCCCATTTTCCGTTGGGTTGGTTGGTTTTAATAAGTATTTATCCTCTTATTTTTTACATGCCAAAACAAAGAATATTTCCCTATAAAAAGAGGTCCAAGGCATAGCTTTTCTTCCACAAATTGTATCCTCTCCTTCACTAGAAACAATCAGACAAACATAAACATAGTATCATTTGGAAATTTCTATATATATTATTGCTTTGCTTTTACTTTTTCTTTGGCTAGAGTCGAGGAAGTTGATAATGGATCAGAGAAAAGGAAAAGAGATGAGAGATATTGCAGTTCGTGATGATGAAGAGAAATGGGTTTATGATTCTTCTGTTGATCATAAAGGAAGACTCCCACTCCGAACTTCTACTGGTGCTTGGAAAGCTTCCCTATTTATCATCAGTAAGATACGTATTTGATTCTTTTAATACACAAATTTGGTTTCCATGAGAACGCTTTCACGAATTTCTTTTTATCTTTCTTCTTTCATTTAGCTGTTGTTGCATGCTAAGCTAGTGATCACTTCATTTTGATTGAAAGGGTCAAAGAATTAATTACAAGTTAGTTGGTTGGTTGGTTCCTATATGAACTATATAAGCCATTATTTACATTGGCATATCAGTACTAGTAAGAAATTCCATATCGATATCAATAGCTTCATGTTATTTTTCATTTCGTGTAGTATTGCGATTTATCGAATATAATCTTTTTAATTCTATCCTTCAATGATGTTATAACAATGGGTTTATATTGATTGTTTGATTCTTGTGTGTGGGGTTCAGCAATCGAGTTCAGTGAGAGGCTGACTTACTTTGGGATAGCAACCAGTTTAATCATTTACCTCACCAAAGTGATTCACCAAGATCTCAAAACAGCGGCCAGGAGCGTCAACTACTGGGCTGGGGTCACAACGTTGATGCCACTCTTTGGTGGCTTCATTGCTGATGCTTACTTGGGCCGGTTTTATACGGTTCTTTCCTCTTCCGTCGTCTACCTGCTGGTAAAATCTTGTTCCTTGTCGAATTCGGATTTAACTTGGTTGATTCTTGTTCGGAAAATTTCCCTTATTCTAGTCTTTATTGGTAATAAACAGGGTTTGGTTCTCTTGACAATGTCCTGGTTTGTACCGAGCTTAAAGGCATGCGATGGTGATGTGTGTGCTGAGCCGAGGAAGGCTCATGAAGTGGCCTTCTTCCTTGCCATATACTTGATCTCCATCGGGACCGGTGGCCATAAACCTTCATTGGAAAGCTTTGGAGCTGACCAGTTCGACGACCATCACCCCGAAGAGAGAAAGAAGAAGATGTCCTTCTTCAACTGGTGGAACTCTGGTCTCTGCTTCGGACTCTTATTGGGGGTCACTGTCATTGTTTACGTTCAAGACCATATCAATTGGGGCACTGCGGATATTTTTCTGACCATAGTGATGGCATCGTCTCTGTTAATCTTCATCATCGGAAGGCCGTATTATCGTTATAGGAAGGCAGCAGGAAGCCCCTTAACACCTATGTTGCAGGTTCTCGTAGCTGCCATTTCTAAAAGAAAACTGTCTTACCCTTCCAATCCTGCAGAATTGTATGAAATTCCCAAGTCACAGATGACACAGGGGAGGATTTTGTGCCACACTGAGAAACTGAAGTAAGCAAAACTTTGGGTTGTATGTTAACTTTTAATTGCTATTATAATTAATGATGACGTGCCTTTCAGGTTCCTTGACAGAGCTGCCATTGTTGAGAACAAGGAAAATTCGTTTGAGAAACAGGATCCTTGGAGACTTGCAACGGTGACCAAGGTTGAGGAGATGAAGCTTGTTATCAACATGATTCCCATATGGTTGACAACTTTGCCGTTTGGAATCTGTGTAGCCCAAGCTGCCACATTCTTCATCAAACAAGGTGTCATTATGAACCGCAAGATGGGCGATTTCGTGATCCCACCGGCCTCAATCTATTCTCTAGCTGCCATTGGAATGATAATATCGGTAACTATATATGACAAGGTCCTCGTACCGGTATTAAGGAAAGTGACCGGAAACGAACGAGGCATCAAGATTCTCCAGAGGATTGGCATTGGAATGCTTTTCTCGGTCGCTACGATGATTGTTGCAGCACTGGTGGAGAAAAAGAGATTAACTGCTGTTAAAAATGACCCGGTTAATGGCTCCCTCTCCATGAGTGTATTCTGGTTAGCACCACAATTCATCATCATCGGTGCAGGAGACGGGTTCGCCCTGGTCGGCTTACAAGAGTATTTCTACGACCAGGTCCCTGATTCCATGAGGAGCTTAGGCATTGCATTCTACCTTAGCGTGATCGGAGCTGCTAATTTCCTTAGCAGCATGCTAATAACACTCGTCGATCACGTCACCGAGAAAGGAGGGGAAAGCTGGTTCGGCAAAGACTTGAATAGCAGCCGCTTAGACAATTTTTACTGGTTATTGGCAATCATGACGATGGGGAATTTGTTCGTCTTCGTCTTCGTGGCGAATTGGTACACTTACAAGAATGTCCAGAGGGTGGCTGTAGCAAATTGCAATGAAGATGAAGATGGTGCTGGATCGATGGCTTGACTTCTATAACTCATTGGTCTTCACATAAATAAAAATAGTTGGTGCTTTTGTTTAGTGTTTCCTAGTCTTCAATTAAAGCAAGTTATGAGATTGTAGCATATTAGTAAAGCTGAATCTGTTGCTTCTATCTGCGTCTTATATGTTCCTATTAGTATATCACCTTGCATCCATGAAGTGTTTGACAAAAAAAAAAAAAATCTATTTTGATCGCCTGTATACTCGATTCCAACAATTTATAAACTTAATCGAACTTTTTATTTTTGTTTTGAGCTAATTGCATCATATGTCCCCATACTATAATTCTTATTTTAAATTGATCATTAAACTTTTGAATATTCTAATTTCATCCCCAAACTATGACTATCATTCTGAATTAATCCTTAAACTTTTGAACATTTTAATTTCATCACTAAACTATGACCCTCTTTCTAAATTATTCCCCAAACTTTTTGAACATTCAAATTTCATCACAAATTCATCCAAACATGTAAATCCTAATTTAACCTAAATTTTATTTATTTTTCAAACATATAACAATATAACTTGGCCTACCGGTTTAACAACAAGGGATGTGATTAGTATATATGTATAGTTTGGGATGAAATTGGATCGTTCAAAAAGTTTGAGGACTAATTTAGAATGAAGGTCATAGTTTGGGGATGGAACTGAAATGTTCAAAAGTTTAAGGACTAAGTGAGAATGATAGTCATAGTTTGATGATGAAATTTGAATATTTAAAAGTTTAGGGACAAAAAATGGTGGGCATACTTTGAGGACATATAATACAATTAACTCTTTTATTCTTTTAAAACATATTAAAATATTACAATGTAAAAATTGTTCGAACTCATTCCTCAAGTACAATCTAACTTTTTTATTTATAATATTTTTTATAATACTAAATTTTATATATAAAAATTTAAAATTTATATATGAAATAAGCTTAAGAACATAAATAATATAGACAAATTGAACTCGTATAATATAATTCTGTTTAAATTGAGCTTAATTTATATAAAAATTATTACCCAAGCTCGAACGGAATTTTTAGTTACCTGATCAAACTGGAGATCCCAACTGCTGCAGTTGGTGGAGAAACAAACGATTACATTTCTCACTCTGCAGATGAAATTGTTGCACAAACAATTTCGAATAAATGAGTTAAGGTCTGCCCTAAAAGCAAAAGGTGTCGCTCACAATACGAATACTCGGCTTAGAACATTTTCTTGATGGAGCACTTCAGTTTCCATACAAATTTTAATTTTATTGGTCACTAGAGTTGCTCTAATGTTGCGCAATAAGACTATCGGATAGAGTAAAATTGTAACTGATAATTTGAGAAAATAAAAATGAAGATAAAGAAGACACAAATTTTATGTGGAAAACCCCTAAATAATATAGGTAAAAATCACGGACAAAGGTAGAAAATAGGAATTACAAATTCTCTCGATCTAACAAGGAGAAAACAATGACAATTCTCTCTTGATAAAAAGGAGAAAACAATTCTCAAGAAAACTCTCTAATTTCTCTAGTATTGGGAGAAAACTAGAATGATTTGGGATGATTTTGAAGCTAAATGAGTTAGAGTATTTATAGTTGAAGCTTAAGGACTAATCTTATAAATACCCTAAAGTACATTGACTAATTGAGAAATTTTACCATCTCATTTTTTCAACAATTTCGGTTGCCAACTTGTTGCACCGAAAATCACCGAAAGTTTGGCCAACTTTCGGTGCCACCAATTTTCAACAATCTCCCACTTGAAGATTTGATTGGAACAATCTTATCTTCACATCATTCTTTCTACCTTGTACCATCATGTTTCTTACGTCTCTGACAGGCCACAAGAGGATCGACACCAAGTAAATTTATCAGCATTGATCGTCTTCGTCATGAAATCCGCTATATTGTCTTTGGTATGGATTTTCTGCATATCTACCGTACCTTCTTCCACCTTTTCACGAATGAAATGATACTAAACTCTTATGTGCTTTGTCCTTGAATGAAATGTTGGATCCTTGCTAGATGTAAGACTCTTTGACAGTCACAAAACATAGAGACATACTCTTGATTGTGCCCAAGCTCCTCCAATAACATCTTCAACCAAATTGTTCTATATTGGCTTGTGTAGCTGCTACATATTCTGCCTCTGTTGTGGATGTAGCCACATCTGACTGTAATTTTGAAACCCAACTTACAGCTCCACCAGCAACTTTGAACACACATCCTGTAGTAGATTTGATTTTATCCAAATCTCCTGCATAGTCAGAATCGACATACCCATTGATAAGTAAGTTTGATCCTCTATAACATAATGCAACATTTGAGGCCCCTTTGATGTATCTCAGGATCCTCTTTGTTGTATTCTAATGCTCTTTTCCTAGATTCGCCATGTATCGACTAACCACTCATATTGCTTGTGCAATGTCTGATCTTGTGCATATCATAGCGAATATTAAACTTCCCACTGCCGATGCATACGGTACTTGAGACATCTCTATAATCTCTTCTTCACTGCTAGGACTCATACTGGAGGATAATTTGAAGTTAATAGGAAGAGGGGTAGAAATTGGCTTACAATCTTGCATGTTGAATCGTGACAAGATCTTCTTCAAATAATTCTTTTGTGAAAGCCAAATCTTCCTATTATTTCTGTCTCGGTGAATTTGCACCCCTAGAATCTTGTTTGCTGATCCCAAGTCCTTCATTTCAAATTCCCTAGCCAGTTGTGCCTTCAATTCTTCAATATGATCTTTGTTGGGTCCTGCAACCAACATGTCATCCACATACAACAACAATATAACAAAATCGTTATCACCAAACCTCTTGAAATAAACATAAGGGTTTGCATTAAGTCTGTTGTATCCAAGGCACGTAATGAATGAATCAAATCTCTTATACCAACACCTCGGCAACTGCTTTAGACAGTACAGAGATTTGTTCAACATGCAAACCAGGTTCTTCTTTTCTTTTTCTTCAAAACCTTCAGGCTGGAGCATGTAAATTTCTTCTTCAAGATTTCCATAAAGAAAAACTGTTTTAACATCTAGTTGCTCTATATGTAAGTTCAATGTAGCACACATTGCCAAGACTACTCGAACTGTTGTTAGTCGAACCACAGGAGAAAAGATTTCATTGAAATCAATGCATTATTTTTTAGCATATCCTTTGACCACCAATCTTACACGATACCTCTCAACTTGATCGTTACCATTTCACTTGATTTTAAAGACCCATTTGTTACCAATTGGCTTCCTTCCTTGTGGTAGTGACATAAGGTCCCATGTATTATTTTTATGAAGGGCTTCAATTTCTTCTTGCATCGCCATCATCCACAGTGAAACATCTGAGCTGTTTATTGCCTCCTGGAATGTTGATGCCTCACCGTCCTCTGTTAAACGGTAGTATGCAATATTTCCTTCTATAACATAATATGAGTGCCAATTGGGACGTCTTTTCACACGATATGATTGAGATGAGTTATTGGAGCTTCAGAACTCTCTGGTTCTTGTTCATCATGTGTTGGTTCTGCTTCAGAAGAATCTCCTTGTTCAAACTCCTTTTCTACATGTATCTGTGTAGTCATTGACTTTTCAGCGCTATCATCGTCTTCTTTTCTTTGTAGTGTATCTTCTACAAAGATAACATCTCTGCTGATGATCACTTTGCGGATAGTGAGATCCCACAAGCGATACCCCTTTACACCATCAACATACCCCAAGAATTTTTATTTTCATGATTTTGGATCAAACTTTGAAATTTCTTGGGAGTTATACATCACATACACAATACTTCCAAATACATGGAGGTTTGAATAATCAGTTGGTTTACCAGTCCACATCTCCATTGGTGTCTTCAGCTCTATTGCAGTTGATGGAGCTCGATTCACCAAATAACAGGCGGTATTGACTGCTTCTGCCCAAAATGATTTTTCTAGGCTTGGAGCCCTCAACATTGCTCTTGTTCTTTCTAACAATGTTCTGTTCATCCGCTCTGCCACTCCATTTTGTTGAGGAGTGTTCGCCACTATGAACTGTCTTTTGATGCATTCTTTCCTGCAAAAGTCATCAAATTCTTCATTTGTGTATTCTCCTCAATTATCTGTTATGAAACACTTGATCTTATTTTCAGAATCAAGTTCCACCCGCGCTTTGAAGTTTTCGAAAGTTAAAAACACGTCTGACTTCTTCTTAATAGGGTACACCCAACATCTCCTAGAGTAGTCATCAATAAATGAGACAAAGTACTCTGCTCCACCTAGGGATGTAACTGGTGCTTGCTATATATCAGAATGAACCAATTCTAGAACACTTTTGCCTCTAGAATTTGACATGTTGAATTTCAACCGGTCCTGCTTACTTGTTATACAATGCTCACACAAAGTAAGTGATACATTTGTTAAGCCTAGAAGTAGCTTTTGCTCCACAAGAACTTTCATTCCTTGTTCTGACATGTGTCCAAGTTTCTAATGCCATAGCATTGCAGAATCTGAACTACATGAGGCAACAGAGGCTTCTGGTTCTAGCAAAGTCTCTCCCTTCAGCATGTACAAGTTTGCTGCTATTTTTTCACCTTTCATCACCACAAGCGCTCCACAGAACACCTTCATGATTCCTTTATGTGTTTTAGTTTTTCTTGCATTATTATCCAACAATCCATAGGATAATTAATTTTTTTCAGGCCTTTCACGTGCCGCACATCTCGAACAACTTTAATTGTTCCATCATACATCTTCAATTTGATGGTTCCAACGCCAACGATCTCTAAGGCATGATCATTACAACTATACACAGATCCTCCTGAGACAAGTTCATAATGATGAAACCATCCTCTTCTTGAGGTCATGTGATATGTTGCTCCCGAATCAATGAGCCTTATATCTGTAAATCTCGTTCTACCTTCCACGGTGGTTGACGCTTCACAACATAGAGAATCTCCATCATCTGAAGTGTTTGTGGTATTGCCTTTTGGATTGGAGTTTTTACCTAGACTCCAACAACCATTCTTTCCACAGCTGTAGCACTTTAAATTCTTTTTGCTTCTCGACTTTGATCTACCATGTTTGTGACTGTTGTTTTATCCATGTTCTGTTGATCTTCATCTCATCGTTGTCAACGCTTCTGCTTATTGCAAATTTACTTGTCTGTCTTCCTTGCTCTTGCGCCGATTTTCTTCT